GCCTGCGGCCTTCCCCGCCCGGCCGGGCGCAGGAAGCGGGTGATGTAACCGCCTTCCTGCGCCGCCCCCGCCGCCTCCCCGGGCCGGCCCGGGCAGGGCGGGGGCTCCCGCAGAGCCTTCTCTAAGATGGGGGCTTGCGGAAAGAAAGACTTCTTAGCCTCCTTAGAATTGTAGTGACCACGGGAAGGGTTTGTTTCCTGGCAAAGTCCAACCGCAACCAGTCTCGTTGCTCTCCGAGTGTAAAATTTCCTAGGCATCTTCTAGCTACCGAGTCTCAGCTGCTCAAATTGTATTATGAGTATATGCAAATCATAATATGATTAGATTCCCCCCTCCTTTCGTGCCGAAAAAGTAGAATTTTTCTGGCGTATTGTCATAACTTCCAGTTTTATTGGGTTCTAGTGTTTGTGTTGGGTTTTTTTTATTTAATTTGGAGCATGTTTTCATTCTTCGTAAAATAAGTTTGCGATTTAACATATGTATTTGACTTACAGACAGCGTTTGTGATACTGATAACATTTTGGGCAACTCTAATTTGCTACTGAGGTAGGGGTGCTAGTTTTCATTAGATACCACTGAACTTACTCCCGTACTTAAATATAGCTTAGCTAGTCCTCTGGGTCTTAAATCTGTTGAAGTCATTCTAGGTAACTTCTTTTTGGAATTGGTAGTCGTTTTGTTAATACCTGTTGTGGTTACTTCCTTTTTAGGTGGCTATGGCTACAGGACAGGTGCTATTTCAACGTTTTTTTTATACCAAGTCTTTTGTGAAGCATTCCATGGAGGTAAGAAAATATTAAAAGATGTACATGGCTACAAATGTTATTTAATCTTTGATCTATTTTGGCGCATTGTGAACTTAGGTGTGATCAGAGTGTTGGTAACTAGCCTGTAGATTTTACTTACTGATCAACATGATTTTACAAAACTGCATAGTACTGATTTTGTCAAATTTTTAGTATTTCCTTGTTTTACCACCATTTTCTCTTGTTATCCCTCCTTAAGCTGTTGGAGGCGATCGGTTCCTGATTTGAGCAAAACATCAGTGTCTTGCAATACTTATATTTCAGCATGTGTCAATGGCCTGTGTTCATCTGGCATCCAAAATTGAAGAAGCACCAAGACGCATAAGGGATGTAATTAACGTGTTCCATCGCCTTAGACATCTACGGGAAAAAAAGTAAGCTTAGCCTTTGAAATAATCAGCAGTATTTACATTGTATATTAATTACGAAACTTCATGGGCCGATGATAGTATCATTCCCTGTTTCATAAATCAGGGAACATCTTGAAGAGATCTCATGAAGGAGAAAAGTGAGTTGACACACTTTATTAAGTAAATATTTTTGGTGTTATAAATAGTGATGTCTCTTATTTTTACACAAATGCAATTTAACCTGCATATGAGTACTCCTTGAGGTTAAGATTATCTTCACGATTTGAAATTGTCTTGCAGAAAACCTGTGCCTCTAATACTGGATCAAGAATATGTGAACTTGAAGAATCAAATTATTAAGGCAGAAAGAAGAGTGTTAAAGGAGTTGGGATTTTGTGTTCACGTAAAGCACCCTCATAAGGTTTGTACTGTATAAGTTAACTTTATAATCAGTGTTTCATAGGCTATAAATGCTTTGAGTAGACTGCTTAACTGCATGGAAGCTGTATGGTTTGTACATGATAACGCTGGTTAACTCAGTAAAGCTAGCTGCTTATGATCCCAATGTCTTCTTTTTCATTTAAGAGATTCTTACTAGTTGGTCTTGTGTCACTGCTGAATGACGACTGGAGGTGGATACAGATGCTAAGTATTCCTTTATATAAGTAGGTAGCTTTGGTGTTAGAAAACATCAGCCGAACATAGATTCTTAAGCAGAAAGGAATTTGGAGACCTAGGGTGGTGATATCCTGTCATCAGGAACACTGTGTGTCATGATCACTCCTTGTGGAAACAGGCTGAGGTTATTAAACCCGTATGAGCTAGTTAGCAGTGTTTCTTCTGTTCTGAAAAGTGCACTCGGGTGTGAAGGGTTTGACTAGAAATGAGACAATTCCCAATATTTGAGTATCACGTATCAGACTAGGATGATACTTGGAGGATGTAACTACTGCAAATGTTTAAGTTGGTGCTTTAGTACCATTAGCATTATGCCTTAAGTAGCTAAGTGTGGTAAAAGAACCTCCTCTTTCTGTGCCAGCAGAAATTGGGATCTTGCTCTTTCTTCTTCTAAAAACACTGCTGTCGTAAGGTCTTTTTAAGCCTGCTGGACTTTCAGAACTCACTCATGTTATCAGTACCCCAGAGGACAATTGTACTTGTTTGTTAATTGGTACACATTTTTGCTGTCAGAGTGGTCTTTTTATCTGCATCCTTGTTTTCCTTTCAAACCCAAGGAAAAAAAAACAACTAGAACTGAATAAGCCAGTGACCACAACATGTTAGATCTGTTCTCTGCAAATACTGTTATACTTCTGTTACTGCTTATTGCAGCTAGCAATATTTTCTCCCGAGTTACAGCTAAAAAGGAATCGTGAATTGTATAGGAGAACATACCTAGCTTGAAAACAGTTGAAGACATCTAGATGAATAGCCTGATGACTGAGCTCAGAAGATGGAGAGCTAGGAAGGTCAGATCTGGTTGAGTGTCAACTCATACAGACTTCTGCATTGGAGAGCAGCAGCTGTGTGGATAAACGCTGGGGATGTTGCAAACGCTCTCTCATGCAGAGTGTTTTAGAACTTGAAAGAGAATAACAGATGCCTCATGGATGTCCCTCTGAAATAAATAGGTGGCTCTCAAGATTCTTGTTAATAACTCGATAACCCATATCTTCCAGATAATCGTTATGTACCTTCAGGTATTAGAATGTGAACGTAACCAACACCTGGTCCAGACTTCATGGTAAGTTGATTTTCTTTGTTTTAAGAGACCAGCAGGGGCAGTAGCAGAAATATGTCACTTGAGGCACTCTGGGCAACATTGCTCAGAAATGATTGTGGGCCACACCAGACAGCTCCAGTGTTTCTTGGTGTGCCCCAAACTACTCCCCAAATGTTGATCGGCCTCTTAGATTAGAGGCACTGTTTTAATGGTAAGGTAGCTTTCCACCCTGACTTCTCACTTCCCTCCTCTCTGCTTTCACTTTTCAGCTGAAGGGAAAATGTTGAGTGGGTTATAGGGTTTTCTTGGTTTTTGTTCTTCAGAGAAAATTATGTGTAGTTGAAGTCTGTTACCAGTGCTGGGAAATGGCTTTTCCCAGGGCTTGAGCTTGATTACAGGTGTATCAAAAACTCGGCACAGATAAATTTCTTTTATCTATATAGATAATGCAAGATGTCAGCTTCTAAGACTGGATAAACTCAGTGTTTTCATGTTTGCCAAGAAATGTCCTCTGCCTTGTCGCTCTCATTACAGTAAAGATTTGCTTGGGGATGGGAAGCTTATGTAAAATTCCAGGTCTTAAACTTAACAAATAGATAATGCTTTTAAACAGTAATGCTTTTTAACAATACTGTGGTTTAAAAACCTTTAGTGAATCCAAAGATCATATTTCTGCTGACTGAACTGTCTGGTACTGTGACCTGTGTGTAGAGAACCAGTTTTGACTTTTCTTTTCTGTACTCTTTTAATCAAAGGGTAGCCTCTGAGGGTAAGTGACTAAGACTTCTCCTCTGCTGCCCAAGCGCTATGGTGCAGGGATAGCTGCCGTCTTCAGTCAAACCAAAGCAGGCTCTACAAAGAGAAGGCTGACTCTAGACAGGTGGTATATACATGCTAGTATAGTAACTGGCCAACTGCTTCTTGTGCTTATACTTTTTGACTTTTATTTTTATTGTGCATTTTGACTGTTGTATATTTTATAACCTGATTGTTGAAGTTCTGCAAGATTTTTAATGTTCTATTTCTATAACTGTTAAAATGATGTATTCTTAAGCGATAAAGCGAATTAAAGTGGGATTTAAGTCTTACGGGAATGAATTAACACAACAAAACCTGAAATCTAGCTTCCATTTGTAAAGTAGTTAGAAAACATTTGAGTAGATGTGTGAAGCTTGGAGTCAAATGCAATACTTAGGACTTAGAGAAACTTCCCACTGCCAGATTTCCCGGTACCGCTGCACGAAGTACTCAGATGTGAGTTACGGACTACTCATTACCAGTTTTCTACTTGTTATGAGAGGAGGGATGAAATTACCCCAACTGAGAAGTGGTTCAGATGTTTAAAATAACATATTTGTGTACTGATGCTTGTTGCTTCCAGTACCTGCAAACTGGTGGATATCCAGTATAATTGTTTTTTGAAATGTGCATTTTTTACAACATTACCTTTTTCTTAAAATATTGTGACAAGGATTCATTTCCTCCTGTGTCTGATTCTGAGCCCACAGGGAAAATACGCAGAGGCCAAACCTGGAAGCAGGCATGTTTTTCAATTTGGCAAATTAGGAAAAGGCTGTATGACTTCCAGATGTTTGAAGTACCACTTTTCCTTACCACTTCTTTTGCCAGAAGGTTTGTGCTCTCTTTGTAGTGGGATAAGAAAAGTAGGTTTTGAAGTTCCTTCTTCCAGAACGATGAGCTGATGTTTAGCTTTGCTTCTCTGGGGTAGCAGTTGCTCTTCGTATAAGCAAGAACGTAAGACAGCTGGGGCAGGTGGGAGGTTGATACTCTTGGGGTTCAAGTTCCTTTTGTCTGTCCTGTGTAAACTGGTTACAAGTGTTTGGACTGTGGTCTCTGCTTTGGATGTCTTGGGGGTTAGTGAATCCTTGTATACTGGGCACCCGCATGGTTAATTACTACTTTCAGAAAGCATATGATTTTGAGGACTTTCTGTTATGTTTGGTTTTAGCTTTTCCCCATCTGATACTTTGCTTGACGTAAAAATCTAGATCTTTTTAAGCACATCAGCTGACAGATTCAGAGGAAGTTACTTTGTGTATTTAAGATTTAGAAGAATAATGCTTAAGTGCACTGACTGGAATATATGCAATATTTTACAGTTTTCTCATTCTGTGAATATTCATTTTAAGCAACCTTACTGAAATGGGACAATTTGGAAACCGTATTTCATGTGCCAAAGAGGAGATCTGCCTGAATACTGAGTACTCTCCTGAATTGATGTTCCCAAACACCCTGATTTCTTCTATGGCTGCTTTTTGCATCAAAAAGAATTCTGTTCTGGATGGAAAATAATGCTTCTGAAGGAAAAGGAACCCCCTAAATCTCCAGTGGAAGTTGACGCGTGCTGAATTGGACTGCATTTTCATGGGAGAACGACTATGGGAGCTGCAGCTTTCAGCAAACCATCTGGGTTCAGCCCTATTGCAGAGAAACATGTGAACCTGAGAGTCTATAACTGAGTACTTCAGATTATGTTGTGTGTTGTCTTGATGAAAATAATTTTATTGCATGAGAGCAGGCCAGTAGAGATCCAGAAGGAAAAGTGAAGTTAAAATTGGTTCTCGTTTCACAACTGAATTTTCAGCAGCCAGTCAGTCAATCAGACTTAATTTCTGTCACACATCCCTCCCCTTGAGGGATTTTTTTTATTATTTTTTTTTAGTAAAATTATACAACTTTTCTTTAGATTTACAGGAGTATAATGTTAAGTCTAATAACTGAATGCAGAAAGAAATAGTCCTTGTAGAAGTAAAACCAAAACAAAAACCCAAAAAACACGAACAACTTTGCAGTGCCCTGCGACTTTGCCGATATCTTGTCTTTCAGGAATTACATGAATGATAGCCTGAGAACAGATGTCTTTGTAAGATTCCAGCCAGAAAGCATTGCCTGTGCATGTATTTACCTCGCAGCTAGGACACTGGAGGTGATCATACAGTTCCGTTAATTTCAAGTTTGTTAGTTCTTTTAATAGAAGCAGAAAACTGAGCGTGTCTTCCCCTCCCTTTCAGATTCCACTTCCTAATCGTCCACACTGGTTTTTACTCTTTGGAGCAACAGAGGAAGAAATTCAAGAAATCTGCTTAAAAATTTTGCAGCTCTATACTCGGAAAAAGGTTTGCTGCTTTTTCATATTGTGAGCCTTCATTAAAGGCTGCCACTTAGAACGTGAGTTGGAAAAACCTTGTCCCATTTGAAACCAGCTGCGAGCCTGGTATATGAGGTGGAACAGGATAGTAGTCACAGTGTCTGGGTCTCTTTAGATTCCTCCCCTCACCCCATAAGTGAGTAAGCACAAGGTCTAGTTTACTAAGTTTTTTTCATAAGCGGTGCTCCTGTGTTCACAGGTTGATTTATCTGATCTGGAAAGTAAAGTAGAAAAGAAGAAATTAGCTATCGAAGAGGCAAAAGCACAAGCGAAAGGTCTAGTACCTGAGGGAGCCCCGAGTTTGGATAACACATCAGGATTTTCCCCTATCCCGAAAAATGGCAAGTAGTGGATAACTTGTTTCTAATAACTCTTTCTCATCTTAAATGTATATTTACCCTTTTGGGATGCATATACAGTGTGGTTTAGTTTTTGTTTGGTTTTTTTAAGCTGACTTCTAGCAACTATTCCAATGGCAGACTTTGAATAGCATTGTAACTTTGTAATTTCTTGAAACAGATCAAGGCTAAAATCAAATCAGTCTAAAATTAAGGCTAGTTTAAAGTTGCATAGTACAGGGAGTTGCTTTTATGTGGTTTTGCAATAAACTTGAACAAATACTTGCAATTGGCGTATGATGCTAAAGCAATATTAAAGCATAGGTGTGATTAGGAACTCTGGCAGGAGTAGTATTTTTGGGTGACGGGTGGGGAGTATTTTCCTGTATACTTGGTCTGAAGCTTCCAGTCTGGCGCACGTCTTGCCTAGAAGGTAACGCTTACCATCTTCCTCCTCAGTTTACCTTTAAAAAGATACTGAATAATTGGCAAGAAAAGGAAGTTGCTGTTCGGCCTTCTTGAAGTGGCTCTGAAAGCGATGTGTTGCTATTGCAGTTAACTCCCCGGTTTTACTTCAATATTTTAGCAGAAATGTTTCAGATTACCTTCTGCCTTCTGGGAACTTCTTCAGATTCACTTTTTGTGGGCGGTTGTGTGCGCGTGCACGTGTGCACATAGGTGCAAGCTGCGTGTATACAGTACTCATTACAAAGATGATGAAACGGGGCGAGGGGAGGCTTCAGTCCTTCTTTCAGTCACTACCCATACTTTCAAAATAAAGTAACAAAGGCTTGTTTTTCTAGAGTCTCCAAAAGAGGTTAAAGGAAATAAACCTTCACCACTACCTGTTCAGGCAATGAAGAACGCTAAAAGGAAAACAGAGGGAGCAAAAAGAATGAGTTCAAATAGCCCAGTAAACGGGTGAGGCTTTCATAATGAAGAAGCTTATTTTCTCTCATTACTGCTTTAAGCAAAATCACTTACTGTTTGTCTCTTGCAGTGTTCAGAAAGGAAGAGAAAGCAGAAGTCGAAGCGGAAGTCGAGATCAAAGTTATTCAAGATCTCCGTCCAGATCCGCATCCCCTAAGCACAGGTATGTACTATGTAAAAGAAGGGCGTGCTGCGAGAAGGTCCCAGATGACAATTTCACAGAGTGAGCTTTGGTAGTTTCTTAATGAGAGGCTGTGAAATAACATCGCAGTATGTGCTGCTAGTTAAAGCTCCAGAAACATGATGGCTAAGAGTTGTGCTGCCTTGGCTCGCAGGTCAAGGGAGTTGCAGTGTCTGACCTTGCCATACCTTGTTCAGATGAAGAACGCTAAAAGGAAAACAGAGGGAGCAAAAAGAATGAGTTCAAATAGCCCAGCAATAAGGGGGTGAGGCTTTCATAATGAAGAAGCTTATTTTCTCTCATTACTGCTTTAAGCAAAATCACTTACTGTTTGTCTCTTGCAGTGTTCAGAAAGGAAGAGAAAGCAGAAGTCGAAGCGGAAGTCGAGATCAAAGTTATTCAAGATCTCCGTCCAGATCCGCATCCCCTAAGCACAGGTATGTACTATGTAAAAGAAGGGCGTGCTGCGAGAAGGTCCCAGATGACAATTTCACAGAGTGAGCTTTGGTAGTTTCTTAATGAGAGGCTGTGAAATAACATCGCAGTATGTGCTGCTAGTTAAAGCTCCAGAAACATGATGGCTAAGAGTTGTGCTGCCTTGGCTCGCAGGTCAAGGGAGTTGCAGTGTCTGACCTTGCCATACCTGTCCCAAATAGATCGAAAAGAGAGTGTAAGCCTATTGGGACATTTTTGAATGTCAGCCTGTTTATTGGCGACATATGGCCCACCAAGCAGCAGGGTTGGTTTGTTCTTGTGGGTTTTTTATATTTAGAGCTGGGTGTTTGTGGTCACAACCTTTATATTTATACTGAACTGTACTGGAGTAGTTAAAGCATTTCCTGCAGTAGATGAACTCTTAACTCCAGCCTTAGTCTCACTGGCAGTCACTCCTGCAGAACCTTAATTTATGAAACGCAAAATGATCCGGTGTTGTATGTAGTTGAGGGTAGTAGAGATTCATGCCCCTCAGTCAAGGCAAGTTTGACTACTTATTCAGCAGTCTGTATCCTGTTGGATTTGGGTACTGATCCAAGTATGGCTTTGTATTAATGTGTATGTGGAAAAGACCAAAGCTAAAATCTGCTGATAAAAATTCTCCTTAAAATTTGAATTCAAAATTGCATCTTAGTAATTATCTGAATTTAATTCAACATCTTTAAAACCTGCTTTCTGTACTGCCCTTGACTTTGAAGTCCAGCACATAACCGTGCTACCCATAGAGGGGTAATCAAAGAGACAGAAAGGAACATTAACTCCAAAATCGGGCGTTTTGGTGACAGTATTACTATAACTGAAGCAGGAGAAGTGATTTTACCTTTTGTCTTATTGTTGGCAGCACTTGGAATCTGGCAGTTACTCTTAGCTATTCACGCATGTTTTCTAAGTAGTGAAGGAAAAAATCTAAAACAAACGTGACTACTGTACTCAAAATGGATTTGAGTTTTATAATAAGTAAATACTCAAATCAGTATTTCTACAGTAACCAGATGTGATCACATCTGGAACACAGGATTAGTTTTCATGCGATACTGAACAACAGAATACAGAACCAAGTGCCTGATCTCAAACCGTGCCTGCACGCCTTGGCTCTATGTGAGAAGCATTTGTCTATCTGGTACTTCAAGTGTGTCTGTATTGTGACTACATATAGGTGCTAATAGTAGTGTAGAGTAATTCTATTTAATATTGAGAAAATCATATGCTTTCCTTCTGTAGGAAAAGTGAAAGTTACTCCACATCAAGCGGTTCCAAATCCCACAGCCGTTCTAGGAGCCGCAGCGACTCTCCTCCAAGACAGTTCAACCACAGTTCTAGCTACAAAGGTTCCAAGGTGAGAAGTTACAAGAAATCAAAAGACTACAAATACTCCACACACAAACCGCGGAAATCACGCAGCAGGAGTTCATCACGTTCCAGGAGCCGATCGCGGGAGCGCTCTGACCATTCGGGGAAGTACAAGAAGAAGAGTCACTACTATAGAAATCACAGGCATGAGCGTTCCCGCTCCTATGAGCGAGCAAGTCATCGCTATGACCGAGACCATCCTGGCCACAGTAGGCACAGGCGATGAATAAAGCAAAAAGTTCTTTCCTTTGGAATTTAAGCAGTGGAGCTCTTCCCCGTTTGGTCTTTGCAGCATAGGCTTAACCTGGCTTGTAAACCACCTAGCTTGAGTAATGTCTATTCTGCTGGCAATTCCGTATTTACTGTCATGAATCCAAAGGAAAGACACTAACGAGACAGGAGGATGTGAAAGACTTAATCTGCTAAATGTCTTGGGGACTGTTCTGCTGGAGTGTCACCTCATAACACTGCAGAGCTTGTCTCTGGATGCTCCTATGCCCGCTCTTTAGTAATTTGCGTACCGTAGTGCAGTGGGGTGTTATTTGGGACTTCCAGTTCTGCAAGCAGGACCTCCATTGCTCAGTAGTTGGAATGCTGTGCTGAACAGTCCTTCCCTGTGGAACTAGAAGGCTCAAGACAGTTCATAAAAACCATTGGAGTGGCTTGGTGCTAACAAAGCTGTCTTTTCATACTGACTCAATTATGTTGTACAAATGTAAGGTGACTTTTTTAGGACTGTTGCCTATATTAGGTTATATATGTGTATATATATTTTGCAGTGTTACAGTACAGTATGGGAATATGGCCTTACTAGCCTTTACACTTTATCCACAATGTAAATACGCATTTGTTTAATACAGGTGGAAGATATATACAGAAAATTCAAAACTTGAATTCTATCAAAAGACTTGTGTAGAAAATTCTGATAAATGTGAAAGTATTTAGCTCTGTGTATTGAGAGTAGTATATTTTTATCTGTGCAATGCTGTGTGCAGGCCACCAGCTCATAAGACATTTCCTATATATACATTTTAAGTGGTTTGAAATTCTTTACTCAGGATCTTTGACACTCTGAAGAGTTAGTAGTTTGTCGATCTGCATGCTTGTTGAAGAACAGAGCATTAAAAAAAAAAAAGCAAAACCCCCACAGCCCAGTAGTATCAGTTCTAGTGGTATATCTGAGCTGTTACTCTCATGCTCCCTAATTTCATTAAAGTATTTGATTTTCTATTAAATTCACTTGATAGTAGTTTCTTATGAGCTGTACCACTGTTCCTACTCGTAAGGGAAGACATTTGGTGCTGAATCACGAGATTATCAAATTGTAGTAGATGTAAGATGAGCCGAAGTTGTTACACCCCGAGTACAAGTGTAGCAGATGTCTCGGCGGGCCCGTCCTGGGGGAGCAGGCTCGTGTGCTGGGTGAAGTAGGGTGCTGTGACTTGAGCCTTTCAAGCTCTGAGAGTAGATCTTAGCCGAACCGCTGCCTGCTGGTTAAACCGCCTCTGTCCGCTCTGCGGGGAGAAAGCTGCAGCAGGCTTTCTGTGGTCAGTCTTGTGGGTGCCTCGGTGTGACCGTGACTCTTCTAACACTTCTTTTAAATCCAAACCAATCTTAGGGCAATTTTTTAAATTTTCAGTATGGAGCTGAGGCAGCTGAAGGGATTTGCAGTCAGTCTTCCTTTAGCCAACCTCCAGTCTGCCATTTCCTGAGCTAGAGGTTGCATAGGGTTATTCTGTGTGATTACCAGCGGACGGATTTGTGAACTTGCCTAATTTTTGTTTGACCCGAGCGATGCTTTTGACCTCTGCAGCTCCCTCTGATGCTCTGTTCCGTAAGAGGAATTACTGCTTTACACACCAGTGTTACCTGTTCCAAATGCAGACGTTCAGGACAGTTTGAGTGGGTGCCCCTCTTCCCTGTGCAGGGGGAAGGCTCCTTATTTCCTCATCCCCTTGCCGCAGCAGCAGTTGGTTTGTAGTTTTTTACCGTAGTTCTGATCCCATTTCAGCTGAGAAAAGACAACTAATGGAGACAGGCAGCAGATACCAGGAAAGCTCCGTGGAGCTTCGGCAGAGCCCTGCTGTGGAATGCAGGTTAATCTGTTCCTGAATCAGCAAACTATCTGCCTTAACTTGATGTCTGCACACAGATGGAAACTCATTATTTCGTACTTGGTATGCTAAATAATTGAGTGGAAGCCAAAATATTAAGGTAGCTCAGACATAATGTGATACAGAAAGCAACTTTGATCTGTTCAGATACGAACAACCTGAAGTAACAACGTTCTCCAGGGAGTTCCCGTTTTAAGTCTGCTGCTTACTACCTGGATATTACTTGGAGCAGGTCAACCTCAGATCTCCGTTTACTAATTCCAGTTCTAAAAGGTAGTCAGTATTTCCCTGTTTAATTACTTCATTCTGCTCCGGGTGCTTCCAGAATTGCCTCTTGTCCAGTTCCCGAGGTAAGGAGCCTCTGGGGAGGTAGGTCTCAGCTGCAGCCTCCTCCACAGAGACTTTCAGAGGAATCACCTTAGTTAGCTACCGGCCTGACCTTCCTCCGGCGCAAGTAGCATGGGCAAGGATAAAGGCGAGACCCAGGCAGTGTACGCTTTTCTGCGTGAACATAATGTCCCTGGGCATAAAAATCGGCACCCGTCTTCTGTAAAGTGCTGTGCTTGTGTGGTCTGCTTTCCAGTACCTTTGTTAAAATCTGGAGAGGAGGAGGCAAGGGAGAAAGTGCGTGCATCTTTGCATTAAAGTGGGTTTGTTCCAAAACGAGGGATTGTCTCGCAGGATTGAAAGACGTCCTGTTGCAGAAGAGAACAATCTGGCTTCACCAGCAAAAAGCCCAACGCAGATCGCTACGCAGAACGCCTTGGCAGCGAGGTGGGGTTGGGAGAAGACGCTCAGAGGAGGTGCGAGAGCCCCGCCGAGATGCGGGGGCCGGTACGTTGGATGCACCTCCGCTTCGTGGAGGCGTGCGTGCCTGTGTTCACTCCCTGGCGTTACGGCACGCGGCCGCAAGGGCGGGCAAATGTTGTGTTGTTTCGCTTTGCTCGGGAAGTCCAAGATCGAAGAGAGAGCACGTGGATTCGGTAGCTTAGGGGAATTTACAAGCAAGTAGGTTTTCAGCATTTGCTGTGCTGAGTGCTAAGGACTCTGCTGTCTGTCGTGTTTCCCTCTGAAAATAACTGGCTCGGCCTTCCGAAGCAGTCATTCCAGAGTTTCAGATTAAGCTCTTTGTAGTGGTCAACTTAACGAACCTTTAAATTAAATCCCTATTTCCTTGAAGTTAGGAATCTCGGGCATTCCGTTAGTTCAGGCACCTCTCCGGTTGATACCAAACGTAACATCCACCACTCCACAAAAGCCTGGGATGGAACGTGCATTTCTCGAACTTAAGATGCCGGTGGCAGATACCAGCTGGGTTTCACGAGCAGTAACAGCTCTGGTCCTCCTCACCGGCGCGATAACAACCGAGCTGCGCGGGTAAGTGCTGTAGGTGGTTTCTGGGAGGTGACAGAACCGTGGTTCGTGGGGATCTTCCCCCTGTGATGCACGGAGAAGAGAAATGGGCTGGGCGCCAGTTCTTGGGGTGTGAGAATGTTTCAAAGTGGACGAGCGAACATGTGCGATGGTTTTTCTGTGAGCCAGCCCCAGGGAGCTGTTGAGACCACGTGGGGAAGTGTGTGCCACGGACAACAAGCGAGCCAGAAGTCCCGTTAGCGGAGCTGACAGATTATTTTCTTTTCTTGGTGCCTGTTTGCATTTGTTCGCTTAATCTCTCGTAAGCGCAGTTCCTGTGGTAGGTGTCGAGTGGACGTGATTGGGCACAATACTGTAAAAGAGCCTGGAGAAAAAAGAAATCGGCCCAGTCTTTGGAGAAAACATTAAGAAATAGCGTCAAGTCATCTCGTTCCTCGCCTGTGCTCAGCGCCCTCTTCCAACTGCACTTTTTGTCTCTTTTCCGTCTGATTGTCAGTTGCTTTTTCCAAATGTTGCTACAGAGCTGAAAGGAACAGGGCTGCTTTTTGTCTTACTGGAAAAACATCCTTCACCTTGGGGTCATCTGGTGGGGTGGCGATCGGAAAGCACTGCTGTCTGCAGAACGGCGGAGGTTCCCGTGAAATGATGGGGAGAGAGCCTGCACCCTGCCCGCGACCTCGGGAATCGCCCTGCCGTCGGCCAGGCAGGTCCTGCCCCTCGGCTCTCTGGTGAGGAGCTTGCTCCCTGAGCCTGTTCTTGAATTTCTACTCGCTTTCCTAGTAAGCAGAGCTGAACGTGGCATAAATGATGCTTAATCCTGCTCAGACGTTATTTCGCTATTTACCAAAGGACCAACTGCTCTTCTCTAGGTACCACTAGTGTTTGATCTAGTGCGTGTTTCAGGAGGCCGGAGAAGTTGTCCAGGCCTGCGTTATGCCTCTCCTTGAATCCAGACAAAGTCCAAGTCCTTGGAGTCAGAAAACAGGACAGCCCCTGACCTGACTAGCTCCTCCAGCTGAAACCTTGCATAGTAATTTCACTGCGTTCATAGTACTGAGACCAATCTTCTTCCGTTAGCTCTCCCCAGCTGCCAGCGCTTGTGACTATATCACAGATCATACAAGGTTTAGAACTTGTTGACAACCTGTAGGCCTACAGGCCTGTAAGAAATGGTGAGAGAATCTTAAGTTTTCATTTTAAGAAAACAGGAAAAAATTCTAGTTCTCATGGTGACAAAGATTACAAAACACAGAAATCTGTGTATCAGGCTGAGCAAGCGAGATGAGCTTAGGTTTACCCAAAATAACCCACCACACTTTTGTGTACGTGCATGCGTGTGCAAGTCTCGGCTCTTAAGGTGAGTTACGACTTCTGTTTTCTGAACATCTGAAGGCTGCAACATGGCTCCCGCTCGTCACAACATCTCCCAGGTTACTCCTCTGATCGCTCGGTGTTCTCATGGAATTGCATGAACAGCAAAGCTTGGAGATCAGGGGAGAAAAGCAGCTTTCAGTTCCCTGTCAGACATTTGGAAGGGAGGCTTTAATTGAGATTTACCGTAAGCTTCAGTGCAGACGCTGCATCCGTGCAAAGCTGGGTGCTGAGGCCTTTGCACCTCTGGAAAATCAGCGTGGTGGGAAATGGGAGAGGTCCAACCTCTGTCAGAAGCCGTCCGCCTTCACTGCCAAGCTCCCTGCGTCTGCCTCTGGAGCCTGGCCAGAAGTTTTGGAGTCCATTGCCACCTCTGAAGCCCACTTAAGATCTGATGTGGCCAGGTCTGGAGTACTGAAAGTGGCCGTGGCTTTGGCTTATGGCAGAGTCGTGCACCTCTGTTTGCAGGGGCGACTGTGCTTCTGTTTGACTCCCTGGAGTCTGCTCAAACTGAATTCTGCTGGCCTGAAGGTCTGGGTTGGTGATTCAAAATCATTTAGTTAGAGGGAGTGTCTGTTTTAAACCTTTTGTTTGCTTTGCCCACAGGCTAACGCTCTAATAATGATCTATAGTTCCACAAACACTAGAAATACCCTGATATTCTGGTATGTTCTTGGTGAAAAAAGTGCCAGAGACCTAAAAAAAACGCACAACTACTCTTATAGCCTGTCCTGCACAAAGGCAGGCCTAGGCCAAAGAGCAGCTGAATGAATGGAGTCCACTCAAATACAGAAACTGCGAGTAGCAATTATTTAAGTGTTGCTTCATGCGAAATAAAAGGAGTATTTTCTCCCTTGTCCTGCCAGGTAACTCCTCTCCAAGGGCTGCCAGGCAACCCCTGTTTTTATTGCCTTTAAATGTGGGTGAGAAATGACGAAGCAAAGCAACTCTGCCTCTGGTGTATCTGGCTCGCCTCAGGTTGAGCTAAAACAGCATCAACGTTTGCCTCCTTACACTGGTTAACAGCGTGCTGAAACCGGGCCTTGACTTCAAGAGTCAGACAGAAGCAGGCCCGGAGGAACGAGCCGCCGGTGCGCGGAGCTTGGTTACAAGCCGTGGCAAACAGCGGTAAGAGCTGGAAAGGAGACGGCGAGGGCTGAGGTGAGAAACGCGGCTGGGGCCGGGCGGATTCACTCGGGGCGCGATGCCTCTCCAGCTGGTGGGAGAGAGCCCTGGTGCTGTGCGCTGGCTCCAGCCCAGCGAGGAGCTCCGGGCAAGGCGTCTCTCGCACGTGCCTTGCTACGTCTCGTAACTTGGATGTCTGCTCCTACTTCTGGGAGAAAATGCCTTACGAACGGGATGGGACCCTGCTCTCCCAGGGGAATCTGTCACCGACTGCCTGTGTGACCTTGGGCTGCGACTGGGTCCAGCTTCCCCATCGATAAAAGCAGAATAAGAGCTTTTTTCCTTCTTTTTATTTTTTTTTTTTAGGAAAACCTTGGAGCTTTGAGAAGCGTTACATAGAATTCTGTGCAGGTCAGGTCTGTGTCTTGTGCACCTAGACAACAGCAGGGATTTTCAGTATATGTTTTATTTACTGAATTTTCACCTTCCTCTAGTGAGACTGTCCCTTCCCCTTCGAGAAGGACTCCAAGGTCCAGACAAGAGCCGGGCACCCCGTGCGTGAAGTCCTGGCTGCGTTCTGGCAGTGACAAAACTCCCCTTGGCTTCGGTGGGTTTTGCCCCTTCTTGTTCGAGGAGTCAGCACAAAAACCGCTGGCGGCAGACTGTTCCCAATGGCTCAACAGAGAGGCGCTTCCAGCGGCAGGAGCCCGGCTGGAGGAGGAACGCAGCAAGGAATAGCTGAGGAACACCAACGTCGGCCCGGAGGCGCCGATCCCAGCGCTGCCACCACGGGCTGACCTCAGGCGCGATCCCAGCCATCCCCGGCAGCGCCGGCACTCGTATGCACCGACGGTGAGGGCTGAGTAAATCACAGGCAGAAAGAGGCCACCGGAGCGGTCCTTACGCCTGACAGGGATTTTTTTGAAAATCCTCAAAAAACCAAAAAAATGCTGTTGGTAATGCACAAAGAGGATTGTTCTAGAATTAACGCAGTACACGTGGGAAGGAAGGTAACTGATTAAACCCCTTGGAAAAGTGCTAGTGTTTGTGGGACAGAGGTTTCTGGAACGGAGCTTTATTTGGAAGAAAGGAGAAAAACACAGGTATCGTCTACAGGGCAACCCTGCTGCTGGCTTGTTGCCGCATCCCATCTTTGCACAAAGCTGAGCTTTTCCCGCTCGCTGTAGAGATCAGTGGAATCTAAGCCTGTGGATCCACTTTCAATAAGGGGTGATGGATCCACACATGCATTTTTACAGATGGCAGAGCAATAATCGGACATTTCTTTGGTTGTTTTGATGCTCTGGAACCCCTTGATATTAACCATTGATTGCTGCGTATGCGTGTGAGCGCTGCGGCTTACGTGTGGCTGCGTACGTATGCATTCCAAACCCCCCTGCGTGAAACCGGCCTCTTATCTGCAAGGCTGAGCCCAGCCTTGGCCGCCCCCCGCCGCTGTCAGGGCAATCGGCCCCTTGGGCAATGCCGTTTCCAAAACCACTGAACCCTGGGAGGACAGAGGGGTTGGAGGCCCTGCCCAAAGATCCTATTGTGGAGTATCGCTCCCAGGTGATCCGTTCATGGCACGTGAGCCCCTTTCAGTCTTTAGAGCTTTTCCTTATGAAAACAATGCCAGCGGAGGATGCAATAGGGAAATGCTAAGAGGGACGTTCGTACTGCCTGAGGGCTGAGATACCGGAGCTGTGAACCCCCTCTCTCTCCTGTAGAGCCATGGGTAAAGGCAGGCGTTCAAATTTCAGTTAGACTTCTCCAAAGCCGGCCCTGCATGAGTCTGTCTGCAGAGGAACAGCAGCTGCCTAAACAAGGTACCAAACCTCCGCAATGCCAATGCGCTCTTGCTCGCTTGCCCACGGACAAGGGAAGCTGTTGTACAGCCGGGAGCTGATTCTCTAAATCCCAGCTGAGCGTCTGAACCTCGCCAGGGCCCAGGGAGAAAAGGGCTG